AGGGTTTTTTTTTTTTTTTTTTTTTTTTTTTTTTTTTTTTTTTTTTTTTTTTTTCCCCTAAGACCAAGTGTTTTAAATTTTTCTGAATAAATTTTATTTTTTTTTTTTTTTTAAAAAAAAAAAAAAAAAAAAAAAAAAGTCAGGTCCCACATGGTTGTGCCTCTCCCACCAGAGCACGTCGTGAAAAAATATATTTTACGCACAAAACTTACTGTACTATGCCATAAGCGGTTAACAGGGACCCCCACTTTTCAGCGCTGGTTAACCCCCTCAACCCTGAAAAGTGCATTGGAGATCATTTTTTTCATTTTTTTCTGTTCTTTTTCTTTTGCCCTATTTTATTTTTGGTCAAGGTCTGTGTGTGCCAAACGCAGGGAATTCACTCGTTTCCGAGGTCCTATGCCCAAGCATCAGGTAGTTAGGCCGGTAGGCCCAACCGGGACACTGACCAGTTCAAGTTCCTGACCCAGTAGGTACCAGGCCGGTGGCCTGATCGGCGCTCCAACTGGCCCAAGTCCTTGGTGCAGACCAGGCTGGTAGTCAGTCCCTACTGGATCTAGGCAAACCCCTGTGTGGGTCGGTGCACATGCGTAGGTGAGAGCAGGCTGCTTGCTCTCGAACAGCACAGCACGGCCATTCTACGGCCACAGGAGCAGCCGTCGAGCCAGCCCTGGCGGTGCACTGGTGGTCAAAATGCTCGCCATAGTCCCTGTTGAATTCGTTTCCTACCCCTAGTACCTGTTGAATTCGTTTCCTACCCCTGTCCGCCCTACGGTCTTCCCTGAATAGAATGTACATTGTACAGTCATTATTATATCAGTTGTATTTGCAACAGACACAGCGATAACGACCATGCCGTCTATATTCAGGAGAAGACGGTATTTCCCAATGTCCTCTTAGACCCAAATTTGGGAGAATTTATAAAATCTCCCTGGGGCGAAACCTTTGTATTCATTTGAACCCAAACCAGGCAAGAAGTGCCTCAGGCCCCAAAATGACATTTGACGTCATGTTTGCACCCTGTAAATTTGTAAAACACTTTCCCGCCATTTTTGCCAGCGTCCGTTACCGGCCCAGCCAGGGTGCAAAAATGACATGAAAAGTCATTTTGGGGCCTGCGACACCTTTTGCACCGTTTGGGGTGAAATGAATTATACAAAGGCTTCGCCGCAGGGAGGTTGTATAATGTTTCCCCCCAATTTTCAGTCCTATCCCTGGGTATAGGCCTATTTACTAATCTAGCCTCGCCAAGATACAGAAAAAAGGGACAGGAAAGACTCCTGCAGGTAGGATATCAGTCTGCAATGATTTCCCCGCCCAAATGGGAGAAAAGGTGCCAAACCAAGTCACTCTGACGGTCCAGGGAGTCGGCAAGTACAGGTAGGCTGAGGTAGAGTAGGCCGAGGTAGAAGAATCTATCATTTGGCACAATGAGTAGTCTGGACACCAAAAGCATCCTAAGTCCGGGCTCTTTTGGTGGTACGATGTGGGCTGGGTGGCACTATGTAGCATGGAAGATACTGTGTGGACTTTGGAGGCACGATATGGACTGGTGGTCTGCCTGCGGGGTGTGGACTGGAGTCACTGGATGATACTCCCATGTGGGCTGGGCAGCACAATCCTCACAAAGCACAGAAAAAGGAGCACACCCATGGTCTGGCTCTGAAGTACTATGTGGGGTCGGTCATACTATGCGGCCGGTGTAATATGTGAGCAGGGAGTGAAAAAAATTCTCAAAAAAAAAAGAAAAAAAAGCACACTGCTGGGTGGCACTATGTGGCCTCAGTGGTATTCATTCTGTGGGGTGGGTGATACTATGTGGGTTGTGCCGCACCACGTGGACTGGGTGGCTGCGGGGTACTATCGGTGGTAGATTGAAGTATGTGGACTTTACAGTACTATGTGGAATAGGAGGTAGAATCCAGAGTACGTACATGACGCTACATGGATCGGGCATGCACATGGATGGTAGGAATCTCTCTCTCTCTCTCTCTCTCTCTCTCTCTCTCTCTCTCTCTGTGTGTGTGTGTGTGTGTGTGTGTGTGTGTGTGTGTGCGTGTGTGCGTGTGTGCACCACAGAGATTAACATGACATGGCAAAAACACCTGGACATGATCAGTGCGCGGCATGGACCCGCTGAACACCCCCCCCCAAAAAAAGCAAAACAGCACACAGTGTGACAGCCCATCAATGCAAGAAAAAGAAGCCCAAACGCGACCCATAAAATACCCGACCGTGGAAATGAAATACAAAACTTGCCAATTCTCCCTTCCCGTAGTGAAGCAACCAATGCTGCCGGGGTTCCTTGGGCCGTAACACGGGGGAGCGTGAGTTGTTATCATATTCTTTTCTTACTTGCTGCCGTTGCCGGTGGAAAAGGAACTGGACTGCTGCTTCCCAGAATAGAAGGAGCCTTGTTCTTATTTTATTTTTTTAAGAAAAAAGGGGAAAAAAAAAAAAAAAAAAAAGTCCGATGTGGTGTCCTGGGCTGAGACGTCAACCCAACGGGTTTCTCGGGTCTTGCAGGACGGCGTCGAACGAGACCCGCTCAGGTCTTTAAGAAGTAGTAGGTACTAGGTAGATTGGCTATAGTATTTAGGGAAGAAAAATCAAATCAAATTAAAAAGAAGCAAACAAACAGAACAGGAAACTATAGACATAATGGGCTGACTACTCACAGAATCGGCAGTGGTGAAAAGCCGCTGGCCGTTTGCAAACATGTCCCCGTCGCCTCCACATTTTTTATTTTCTTTTCTACAATGCCCCCCTCATACACGTTGCCTTCTTTCTCTGGTCCTGTGCCAATTTTTCCAACATGGAACCCTTATCACGAAAAGGAAAAGGAGAAAGACAAAAAATAGAAAAGCAGAAAGAGGAGAGGAGAAAGGGAGAAAAAAAAGTGCATTGAAAAATATAATAATCTGCCTTGTAAGGGACGCTGGACCCGTTTTCCAGCAGGTGATGCTCCCCACCAATAGATGGAGCCTCCCCAACAGTACTAGAGGTGTCTGATCCTATCAGCACCCCTAGTACTCACTCGGGTTGAAAAAAAAAAAAAAAAAAAAAGGGCTTGTGGGTAGGGCATAGACAGGGTACCCAGTGTGAGGCAAGAGAGAAAGAAATAGGGCAGGTAAAAAATACAGCTGTCCCCCATATAAGGAGAAGACAGCTGTATTTTCTATGAAAAATATTAATAATAACAATAATACAAATAAAAATAAAAATAAAAAGAGGATGCCGAAAATTTTGCCTGAAAAAATCAAGGCGGTTAGTATCCGAGGGCAAGAGACGAACATTTTAAGAACGGAAGAAACGAAAGGCAAATGGAAAAGGACGGACATGCAAAGACTTCACTGAAAGAGCATATAATTTCTGTTTGACAATATATATATCCTCAAACAGAACTGCCCGGTAGTAGGCGGCGAAGGAGAAGAGGACAACAAACAAGGGGCTGTGACAAACTGTTTCGTCGGAGTTTCACCGACTCGTCAGGAGGCTGAACCCTCAACATATGGAAATCATGGAGACAGAAGAAGAAAAAGGACCAACTGGCCTAGCTCAGTTGCTACACTGCCGAACTGTTGAAATGGAGACCTGAGTTCGAATACCAATGGAATCTGAATTACCTGATGAGTGAAAATGACTCAGAATTTACGTGGGCCTGGTCAGTTCAAAGACGATATCTCAAGGCCACCACCCTTTAAAAAAAAAAAAAAAAAAAAAAAAAAAAAAAAAAAAAAAAAACAGGGGTGGGGAGAAAGAAGAAGAAAGCAAGTGAAAAAAACAAACAAACAGAAAGGAAGTATGGAGGCAGAGATGAAATAACCAATGCCAGACCCGGTTTCAAGCATGTATATAACACTTCTCCAGGGAAAAAAAGCCCCAAAAATTAAAGAGATCAGGGTAATATGAACAGTGGGCTACTGTCTCAACAAAGAAAGCTGGTCCTCGCCACACATGGAACCAAGTCCCACGATTGTTACAAACCTATGCCCTCATCTCTGGATCGCACCTGAGATTCCAACGCTATTAGATGATTAGGTGCCAGCATTCTCCTGAGGTATTGTGCTTTCACCAAGCCTGGGAGATAAAGCATAGAAAAGATAGAAGATTCCATGAAACCAAGGTAAGGAGTTGGGTAGATGAGAGGAAGAGAGAGAGAATGCAACAAATCGGATAGCAGAAGAAAGATTGAAAGAAACAGAGAATGCCAAAGTGCGTTGACAGGAAGCATAGGC